TGTTAAAGCACAAACCTATTCCAAAGTCAAATTTCACCCAAACTAATAATTAAAAGATTCCATATGGTGTGGCCTTTATGTGTGACAGTATGTATAGAATCTTTAAGGTCTACGAGTCTGAGAGTTGAAATTTGCAATATGGCAATATGATAATATCGTCTTTATTTATATTTAGTGAGTACAGTGTAGTGTAATGACTTCAAAAGCTAATTAATTATTATTTATAAAAAATATATATCTAGGGCAATTATGAACGAATAAGTAAATAAATATTTAATAAAACATATTTTATTTCACACATGCTGGATTGCAAAATTAACTTGTAATGATTTGTTAACACACATACATTATACATTCAAAAAGTTGTATGATCAAGTAGGCTTTGACATTAAAAAAGCGTTGTTTGATTTTGTTTTGTTTTAAAAGAAACCTAATACAATTTCTCTTAACCTTTGTTCAACTGTCATAATACAAAGCACTCTCGGTGATCAAATATTTAATCCCATTCTATGTTGGATTTACTTTTTTTTCAATTATATGTCGTTTAATTTCCTGTGTTGTATTTTTTATTAGAATGTCATTTCTGTTTACTAGGTCGTTGTACCTACATTACTTTAGTCTTTGCTAAATTCATTTTGAGACCCAATTTTGCTGGTTGTATTTAGTTCGTTAATTTGTGCTTCTAGTTTTTTAAGACTATTGGCAACTAAGACTGTTTCATCCGCGAATCTATCTGGACACTTAAACGGACATTATAAGGAAACTACACGTCGCACACCGCTCAATGGGACGAAATATGCTGGGAATAACCGAGGAAGACCGTAAAGGAACAGAGTGAATACGACAAAAAACCCATGTCATCAACAGAATCAAATCGCTCAAATGGCAATCGGCAGGGCACCTGACAAGCGAAGGACCCAGGACAACACATGGACCACAAAAATTACAGCATGGTACCCACGATGCCTAGAAGAAGATCAAACCTGAGATAGGACCATGATATTAAGAAATTAGCAGGGATAACTTGGGCCCGCATAGCCAACAATAGACAGGTGTGTGACACTTGGGCATTTATACACAAGGACACTCCAGATAGCATAAAGGTCTTTGGAGCGATGTATAATTGGAATAATAATGAGACACCAAAGATAACAAAAATGCTAAGAGATAAAGTGAAACACTAATTTAATAATTAATTAAAAAAAGCTAATTTAATATGAGACATATGAGAAAACAAGTAGGCACAAACTGCCACCAAATAGCACAACAGCGAAACACGTATGCACAAATGAAAGAAGAATCTGCAAGGAAAGCATGCATGTAATTAACTGCAGCATAAAACGGCGTATTATGATTGCATATTAAATTATATTTTATACTGGGTGCGTCTCAAAAGTGGCCCCTATAACTTTTTTATTTTTTCAGATAAAAACCCGAGATTTGGTATGTTAGTATATGACATAAATTGATTGACATATTGTTGACATGGATTGATTGACATATTGAATTTTATTTTGGCCACTTCCTATTTCACCGGAAATGACTACGACTTTTGATTTTTAAATAGCACCCTCGGTATTTTTTTACTTTATTCGATAGAAAATGACAGTCTGAATAGATTGACATATCATATGTCAACTTTTGACATTTTTGCCTAAAACAAAGTTGTATTTTTAATTTCAATCTAGAGTGCCATGGCTGTGTTAAAAATACTAATTTTTAATCAAGGAGCTTTGGAAATATATGATGGATCGTCTAATGTTTTTAGTGTCTTGTCCTGGCCGGTTAAAAGATGCCCAAATCGATTTTTTTATCATATATCAATTTTTTCAAATGGAACGAGGGTGGCTCATTAGCATATTTGGAAAAAGCATGTTTTTACGAATAATTTGATACCACACACTTGGTATTTCGAGTCAAATTGTCGTTATGAACCGAGGGTACCATTTAAAAATGAAAAGTTGTACTCATTTCCGGTAAAACCGGAAGCGACCGAAAACAATTGAATATGTCAGTCAATCCTAATTTATGTCATATACTTACAAACCAAATATTGTTATTTTATCTGAAAAAATATAAAAGTTATAGGAGTGAGTTACTGTTGACGCACCCGGTATACATATAAGATCTACCTATTATCTTTTGATCCCGTGCACTTGATATCTCGGCTACAAACAAACTATTATACTCTCTGTATAGCATATTAGATTGAAAAAACAAAGATATAAATAGATTTGTTTTACAATGAACAATAACATAACGAAGCTAATATATTGATCAATGTCAGACAATCTAATAAAGAGGAAGTAAGAAAGTTGTAGGAAATTGGTTTCTATTTTTATTGTACTTGAATTAATCCATTAAAATTTATAATGAATAATATAAATTTTATTATTACTAATCAAAATACAAAAGTTATTAACCTGTCAACAATAATGAATAAAGGAAATATTTTGAAATTTTGAATATTTTAGTTATTCAGAACAGAAAATTAGTATGGACAAAAATAAATTATGCTATTCTATGTAATGAATATAATTTCATATGAATATTCCACATAGATATTAAATCCATTATAAATTCATACATCAAGTACGATATGATCCAAAAAACGGCGTCAGGGCTGGCTTGGAAATTATGATAGCCGTCATTTTCGATCGTCGCGTCGTTTAAAAATCAGCCTGACGCGGTACTCATAACCATACTACGGTACATTACTATAAAAGTGAATTAGTATGAGTATATAATTTTGTTATATTATAAAAAATTGGATAATTAACGTTTTACCTAGACTATTACGTACCATAAACATTATCATTCTTAATAAATTCAGACTTAATATAAAATGAATAATGAACAGTACATTAGTTTTACATTTATTTAAATTGTAAGGTAACATTTGATTTATTATTATTATTAGGCTAATCTGGCTAATTGCTTTGTTTATAATAAATTTCCACGTTTAACGCCTTAAAAAATATTTCTATTTTCATTATCCCTAGAAAAAAAAAACAATTATTATATTACGAATAAAATTACTTTCGTTCGGTAAATTTAAGTTTGTTTTTTTCTAAAAAAGTGTTTAAAAGTTATAGAACTTTCTAGTATATTTTTTTATAATGACTGAGTCTTTTTCATTGGCGTGAACCTATACCTAATATATTGATATAATAAATATTCGATTTTGGCAATACGCCTATAACATCAAGTATCTGTTTTATCAGGTTATCGTTTTATTAATTGAGAAAATAATTAAGAGATTAATTTATTCATTAATTGATTTAAAAATTTTATATATCAACTAGCCCATGCTATACTATATACAAATATATTATCTGCAAAATCATTTAAATATTCTTCAGATACAAATAAGCAATGTTCATTTTTTAATTATGTTTCTAAAATAAAAATAATATGCGTTTCTTTTAAAAAGAGATGGATTAACTTAATTTTTAACACTTTTGAGCACCCATGTACAATTTACAATTACGATATTATTTATAATAAGATTAGTACAAACCAACTGTAGTAAACACCGAGTGTTGTTCTGACTCCAGGATATCCATTTTGATTTCAGGATGAATTTTTATTTTTTTATAAAATTCTGCAAAAACATTTTTTTATTTATTAATTTCCCTGGAACTATACAAAACAAATTAAAATGATAATCCTCAATCAAAATATGAATTATTATAGATCAGGACAAAATGCTATATATATATATATATATATATATATATATATATATATATATATATATATATATATATATATATATATATATATATTTGAAACACAACCAAGAGTTTGGTACCAAATTATTCGCAAAAAATGCTGTTTTCAAATATGCTAATGGGCCACCCTTGTTCTATTTGAAAAAAAAATGAGATATGATTTGTACATTTTTTAAATGGCCAAGACAAGATACTAAAAGCATTAGATGATCAAATCTATTTTTTGCAAGGCTCCTGGATTAAAAATTAGTGTTTTTAACACAATCATGGCACTCTAGATTGAAATTTAAAATACAATGTTGTTTTAAGCGAAAATGTCAAAAGTTGACATATGATATGTCATTCTATTCAGAGTGTCATTTTCTATCGAATAAAGTAAAAATATACCGAGGGTGCCAATTAAAAATCAAAAGTTATAGTCATTTCCCGAGAAACAGGAAGTGGCTGAAAGGAATTAAGTACGTCAATCAATTCTGATTTATGTCATATACTAACATACCATATCTGGTTTTTTTATCTGAAAAAATAAAAAAGTTATAGGGGGTGAGCCACTTTTGGGACGCACCCGGTATAATAAATGAATACCATCAGTACTGCAAGTTTTTACCAACAAAACTAATATTAATGCGCATTCTGACGACTCGTGTACTTGGCAATTAATTGTGATTGGCATACAGGGTCCGGCGTTAGTGCGTAGTAGCCTCCTATAATAAATAACTTAGATATTTTGTATAGATGCCCGACGCACCCGCCGGACCCTGTGTACCAATCACAATTATTTGCCAAGTACACGAGTCGCCTGAGCGCGCCATTACAAGAATACAATATGATGATGAAGACCGCTGTCATTTTATATGTAAATTTATTTGGGAAATGTCATCGATCATCATTTCTCAGCCAACTGAACGCCATTTTTTTCGATCATACATCATACGGTATGCCTTCTTCAAAGTTGTCAGTGTTACCATGCAACTACACATAGCGATAACGTATAGTAGACATAAAAAATTTGCTGCATTGACTTCATTTGTATTTTCTCTTCCTACTTTTTTTGTACTGCAAAAATAACATCTACAATAGCGCTTGTCTTGATCTTGTGACAATAGTTTCACCTCAAGTGTAAATCTGTTGGTTATATTATATAAAAGTACCCTATTTACAAATACTAACAAGAAAGATCTTAACTTGTTCAACGCATCAGTAAGGTTTTTTTTATTACCGCGGCTGAATATATTTAACATAACTAATTATCGATATTCGTTTCAGGGTTTCGACACAGCAGAAGGAGGCGGTATCGACCTCATCTCCCACATCATCACCAGGCACCTGAAAATCCCCTGCTCGGTGCTCATGGGCGCCAACCTGGCCAACGAAGTCGCAGACGAAATGTTCTGCGAGACCACGATTGGCTGCAAGGATGCCAGTGCAGGTCCCCTGCTCAGGGAAATCATTCAGACCAGTTACTTCAGAGTAGTCGTCGTAGATGACGAGGACACTGTTGAAATATGTGGCGCTCTTAAGGTATGTCACATTTTATAGAGATCGAGATAGAGATTTAAGTTTAAGGAAAATGGGTTCCCAGATGTTCCGATTTAGACGGGATTGTCTTGACTTTTCAAACAAAAGTCTTTAGTTGTCTCAGATTTAATTCGTGGTCAAAAAATTTAAATATAATTATCCAAGATAAAATACTCGTAACAAGTGAGAACATTTTTCATTATTGAGTTATATAGCGAAATGTGTTTTGCTAGATTCCTTCAGCATATCCAATTATCAAAAAAATATTTTGACATACGTCATGTGAAATCTGCCATAGTGACATATACAGGGTCGCTGATATGTAATTCATACATACTGCCATTACTCGCTGTCGAGTATTTGACACGCATCAGAAGATGGTCACGCAAGGCGTTTTCTTTCATGAACTTTTCTGTAACTGAAAAGTCCGATACGTGATGTTATGTGTCTACCGCACTCCGGACATTCAAAAATCTCATTGCTTTGTTGCTTCTTTACTTTGGTCGTCGCTGTTAACTGAGTTTACAATTCTTCTTCAATGAGTTGTATTGTGAGCTGCTTCTTCCCACACATTCTGCATGTTAATCCCCTTTAAGTTTTCGTGAAAAATGTCCTTCTACTTTTTGAGTTGTCCACCCGGCCTCCTCTTAACGTCTACAAGCCCACCGTAAGCAGAGATTTTGGTATGCGATTATCTTGCATTCTGCATATGTGACCAGCCCATCTTAAGCGGGATTTTGTAACCGTGACTCCAATACTCTCGCAATTAGCTTTTTCAAGGACCGATACGTTTGAGACATGATGGAACCATTTGATTCTTAAAAGTTGTCTAAGGTGTCTCTGTTGCAACTTGTTTAATGCGTTCATGTGTCGGCGGTACGGCACTCAGGTTTCGCTCCCATACAATATAGTGGGGATTATTATTGCTCAGTGCGAAATTTAAATTCCAGTTAGTCAGCACGGCGCCGAATATGTCCATGGTTGGCCACAATGAATTTAAAAATCGCGCCCTCGATTATGAAACTAAAAGTTTAATTGATATAAAATAATATAGTTGAATTTTAACATTTAGAAAATAAAATAAATTTGTGAAGTTAAGGATTTTCGTAGGTGTTTTATTTAAAATAGATTCACATTGAGTATATTATGATTCTCTTCTTATCTTCCTATTACCTTTTTTTCCAGAACATTGTCGCTTGCGGCGCTGGTTTCGTAGACGGTCTCGGCCTCGGTGACAACACCAAGGCCGCCGTCATCAGGTTGGGCCTGATGGAAATGGTCAAGTTCGTGGACGTGTTCTACCCCGGAGGCAAGCTGTCCACCTTCTTCGAGAGTTGCGGTGTTGCCGATCTCATCACCACATGTTACGGTGGCCGTAACCGTAAGGTGAGCGAGGCCTTCGTCAAGACGGGCAAGTCCATCAAAGAGCTGGAGAACGAGTTGCTCAACGGGCAGAAATTGCAGGGCCCTTTCACTGCCGAGGAGGTTAACTTTATGTTGAGGAATAAGGGCATGGAAGAGAAGTAAGTGTACAAAGATCTTAAGCGCAGATTGTTAAGCTAGGGCTACATGTACGGCTATCGTGATGGACAACTTCGGGTTACGTATAATTATCGCTTGACTAACTAATTATACAGACCGGACCACCGTGCACCGCACCGTAGTAGTAACATAGGCAGAACCGGACGAATTAGCGTATACCCGTCCGCCGGATAAAAAGCAGGCGAAAGAATGCGATAAAATAAAAATAGGTAGATATGTGATAAGAATTTTTCAGAATTTGTATTTATTCGTGTTTTAATAGCCAAAACGAATACATAGATTCTCGCGACAGTTCTCGTGTAAACTTTATTTTTTAAGTAAAATAATGGATCTTCACGAAGTTCGTGAGAAAATTCAAATTGTAAAATGGTATTTCGAAAATAGGTCTTATCGGGATATACAAACAATTTTTCCACAAGCTTTTGTAAACAGGTCAATTCCATCTTTACCTATTATATCAAGAGTTATTAATAATTTTGAAACACAGGGGTGCGTGTCCCCATAAAAACACAAAAAGCCTGATGTAATAATTAATGAAGAACAGGAGTTAAAGCAAGTGTTCATTTATGCTCCCGCGGATCAAAATCCCGCGTTTTCAAGTAATCAAATTGCTGAGGTGGTTGCCCTGCCCACAATGCCCGTATTGATCAAGAATATTTGAACAATACTTTTCCCAACCGTTTAATTAGTGGATATAGAACTATTTTGTGGCCCGCTAGATCACCAGATCTTTCTCCCAATGATTTCTTTTTGTGAGGTTATGTAAAATCCAGAGTGTATGGTCATAATAGGTCTAATAATCTGGATGAGCTTCAAGTAAAAATACGAGAGGCTTTCCAAACTATTAACCCTAATATGTTAGCCAATGTCAGACGGGAATTTTACGACCGCCTAGGCTTCTGTCTAGCACAAGAAGATGGTATTTTTGAACACTTGTTATATTTTTTTTTATTTAGAGTAATATTTTAGTTTTTTTTGGGTTTAGAGAATTTATTTATTTTTAGTTTTGGCTTGTAAACACACTCAAATAATAAATATTTATGTATTTTTATTTTAAATGTTACCTTAAGTGAAGGTAAACACTTAAAATGAAAATAATAAATACTCGGCATTCCTCGCGTCGTATTCCTAGTTTGTCACGACCGACCCGTCCAAGCACAACTGCAACTGCGCACTGCCTGACCAGCCGACTAGCCGGCAGTGAATCTCGAGTACGAACGCAAATTGGGGAAACGTAAATTCATTCGGCAACTTGCTATGTTACTAGTAGCCTGGTCTTCTCTGTATTAATTAACTAATAATTTATGTAGAGTTGGTGGTATACCCTTCCCATATGTTTTCTTCAAATCGGAATATCGGTTCTTAAAATATCTTAAAAAATGTGTTTTTTTTAAGTTTGTTGCCCTCTAACGGACAAACGAAGCACTTTTGTATAGAGGTAAATTGTGTCCATTGAACTTATTTTGGTCCCAAAAATATGTAGTAAATCTGTCTACGGAATATTGGGACACCCTCTAAAACTATACAGGATGTTTCAAAAAACATGTGCCATCTCTCGTGGGGAGATTCCTCACGTAAAAATAAAATTTATTTTTTATATCAACTTAGATCCGATTCTGCTTTGTTTCGTAGCTACAGGGCGTTGAAGTCTTAATATTCTTTCGATTTATTATAACTCTCTCCAATTACTTTTAGTGATTATAATTAAATTTTGAGGGTAAAAGTTACTATAAGTGCTACATATATTTTAATGTTAAAAAAGTTTCTATAAATTCATCAGGGACGTGCATATGGGTTATCGCTGGAAATTTTTCAAAAAAAAACGTGCGCCACTGACTTTCTTTCGATATCAAAAATCTCTTGATATTTTGTCGAATTCGGCCTCCTTGATGAGACAAACACAATTTTATTAATCACAATTAAGATCTAAATCTGTTGTCTAGTTTTTAAGTTTTTTTAATTTGACAAGTCGACTCGAAATGTGTGGTGCCAAATTATTCGTAAAAAAATGCTTTTTCTAAATATGCATGAAGCATGAACCACCTTCGTTCCGTTATTAAGTGAACTCTATCGTCTATACCGAATGAAATTTGTTTTTATGGAAAGGAACCGCTACCTGTACTGAATGAAGTTTAACATCTAGCGAATAGATGGCGCCAGCAATATTAAAATTTGGAATTTTATAAAAAGAAAAATAAAACGCTACAATTTAAAATACGATTTTTTAAGCGTAAGTGTCAAAAGTTCACATATGATATGCCATTCTATTCAAAGTGTCATTTTCTATCGAATAAAGTAAAAAAAAATACCAAGGGTGCCATTTAAAAATCAAAAGTTGTAGTCATTTCCGGTGAAACAGGAAGTGATCGAAACGAATTGAATACGTCAATCAATCATAATTTATGTTGTATGCCAACATACCAAATCTCGTTTTTTATTAGACAAAATAAAAAAGTTATAGGGGCGAACCACTCTTGAGAATCATCCGGTATATTATTGATCTTGGCCCTAGAAAATAATATCTTCTCTATAAATAAATAAAATCAGAGAACAAATTCAATTGCACTCTACTATAAAATGCTTCAATGGACCACAAAATTACGTTCGCAACAAAATCGCAAATCGCAACTCCTAAAAATGCAAACTCGTAGATAGGTTATCACGGTCCTAATTTACAAAATCACAATCGCAGCAAAATCGCAAATCGCAGCAAAATCGCAACTCGCATCTATAGTAATATTGGTTGCTTAAATTGAAACTCGCCAATAGAAGAAATCGTAGCCGCAGTTTCTTATGAGAGTCAATCGCAGGTTGCGATTTTAAAATCGTTGCGATTGAATCTCAGTTTGCGGTTTGTTGCTCATCTCTAATATTGTTTTTATTTCAGATTCCCCCTTTTCACCGCAATCCACAAAATTTGTACGGGTGTTAAGACACCGCTAGACTTCATCGACTGCATCAGGAACCACCCAGAGCACATGTAAGATTTTTTGAAATGTTCTGCCATCTATTTTCCTTTCTGTTGATTGATTACATGTACCATTTCTCTTTTCAACCGAATTTTCCCATTCTCCAACACTAACTTTAAGTTTAAGAACGGTCTTTGTTGTGTCACAACGAAACACGACTATCTTCCACTAAGAAGTAAACTTACAAAGACACTGTGAATACATATCATTTAAAGTTTGATTGCCACAGCAATTACTTTGCAATATACAACAATCGTTTTACTAAAAAGGGCCTTTTATTTGAATTAAAGGCATGAAATTCATTTTTATATTGTTAACTCCTGAATTGTTATTCTAGCTGTTCAAGGATTTGCATGATAATTTAGATATCATATATTTTTATCATGGATCTTAAAACGAATGCTCATTATATTTGGGGAATTAAAAATATTGAACTAAAACGCAAATGCATGCATTAAAGACTTTTCTGTTACTTTTCTACCTTCCTGCATTACATAGAGGCACGATTTTCTCTATCGCTACTTTTATTTTGCACTAAACCTTGAAAAATCACAAAGATAATTTTGTTATTTTACAGAATTTGTAATCAAAAAGGGCCCATGTGGAGTAAATTACATCAATAAGGTCGTATTATTAACTATTTCGATTTAAATACGTATATCTGCTATTTTTCTACCAAGCGTTATAGGAAATGTAGAGGAGAATATGTAGGACAAGAAATTACACTTCTTTTGTAATAAAATTGGATATTATTAATAATTTATAATTTCTCTATTATAGTGATATAAAACTATTAAAAACAGTTTCATAATGTAACTTTCTATAGTGCAGGTTATGTTCAAATTTCGATAATTTATCACTTATTTGAATACCTTGTCTTAAAGATTAAATAGTATATCTACAGACTTGGCGAGACCGCGAGGTGGTTTCAATATGGCTGACTAGAATTCCGATAAATCAATGGCGTTTAATTTTCAATAATTTTCTAGTTTCACATCAACTTCTTTTTCTTGAGGTGCCTCTTCTCTCTTCTCACCGAAGATTGAATTGAATTCTTCTCGTCTTTCTGCTGTTCTGACGAGTGTTTGGACATTCATTCATTTCATTCCGAACTATTTCTAATAAAAATAAACACATTTATGGAATTATTTAATAACAAAAATATACGCTACTTGGACAACTACATTGTTAAAATTTACACATCTTAATTATTCGTAATAAGTAATAAGTGCGAGAATAATAATATATGTCAATCGGTTTCAAAACATTCTTCGACGTCTTCCGATGCCCTGTCGCCAGAGGTCGTCTTTGAGCTCTCGTTTTTTCAGCTCCTTGTCTATTCCATCTCTCCAGCTCTTGTGTGGTCTACCCCTTTTTCATCGTCCCGCTTGAGCCCAGAGGCTTCTTAAGTCTTTTTATTGAATAATTTGATCAGGGCGGGAGCCTTGGTCCCATGGGCCCCCCTCTATATCCGCCATTGGATCAGGTTACATAATATCCATAATAGAGAATAAAATAGATTATTTTACATAGATTTTTATAGAAATCCTGTAAAACTACCTCAAATAAAACAAGGCCTAGGAGAAAAGTAACAGAAAATTTTCCATATCCTTGGCTTAGAATCACAGAGTTGTATTCAGAGTTGTTGAACATTGGTAGTTACAACAGAAACTACCAATGTTCATACAACTGTGTAATTCTAAGCCAACGATATGTAGGGTGTTTGTTAATATCAGTATGAACTTCCTAATGAAATTACCAAAGAAATGTAATATTTGCATAAGTTAAACACTAGTATTTTAAATGTTTAGTGCCATTGTTCAATTTGTAAGTACGTAAATCCATATACCTATGTTATCTAGTCATTTAGTTCACTACACTGCTGTAGCTATAACCAAGTAACTTGTGCAATATTTTTTCTTTATTTTTAAAAATGTATAAATTGGCAATTTTAAACCAAATTGACGTTTAAGTAAATCGGGTACATAAAACACGTGTAATCGTAACTATTTTAGTAGAAAATATGATAAAGGACATTTTTAAAAATTAGATACTCAGGACCGATTTCAAAATTGTTCCAGATATATTCCCGTACATATTGGCTTCCAGTAATTTTTCCAATCCCGTGTCCTCTTATCCTTATACTCTGTTTTTGTTGTTGATTTTTTATATATATAATAATATAGTATATACTCTACTAATTTGTTATGATTAATAATTGTTGAATAAAATTCGTCCTGTACTAATATAATTGTTTTTTATTTATCTGTAGACTGATAAAGTTTGGTTTAAATATAAAGTAATTAATATAATCTAGATTACTAAACTGTTTTTCAATGCATAGTGGATTACACTATCAGGATAAAATATTTTTAGTTTCATATTATACTATGATTTATTACAAACGATGCTACAGTAGGCGTAAAAATTACATTTTATTTAGGACTTTACTATTACCTGTTCTTAATTTCTCGAGTTGATATTGAGAGGCGATGATAAGTTTATGGACTGTTTCAAAGATAACAATAAGCTGTCATTGTCAAGAATACAGCTATTAGACACAGTCAATCCAGAAGCACAGATTTATTAGTCAGACGGAGAAATTAAAACAAGCGAATGCGTATGATGATTCGCTACAAAAAAGTTGTGCCACAGATTAAGTATTATTTCAATTGGGAATACATTTTTTTACAAAAGACAACAATGCATTCGAGAAACAACGAAAATAAACGTAACAACGCCATAGTCCTATTAAAGGTCCGAGGTCAGGGCGGCGTTTATCAGCTAGATGAAATAAGTGCCACATCTGTAAGTTAATCTGTGTCCGAACTTTAATGCTATTTCTACGCCTACTGTGACTTTTTATTTTAGATCGTTAAAATAAACAATGTAAGACGTGGTAAGACTATTTACAACAAATTCAAGTGTCTTATTATATACATACAGGGTGGCGCACCTCATTCGCCTCGGTTGATTATACGAAAACGGAAAGATGTAGAAACAAAATATTTTAGGGGTATATGTGGGGAGACAATGCACAATTTAAAATTATTTTGAAATATACAGGGTGTTTCAGAACTAAGATCCATACCAAAGTTATATTTTTTCTTATGGAACACCCGGTATTTTATTTCAGTTTTGGATTCTTGGGCCCAAAAAAAGGCCTTTATTATAAGGGTTAAATATGTTTAAAATCTTTAGTTTTTGAGATATTTAAAGATATTTAAATTTGCATGCTAAAATAGAATAGACTATTAACACCCTGTACATTACTTTTCAGAATTAATTCTTATGCTGAGTTTAAAGGTAGAGAAGTAAACTTTACTGAAAAATGGTATTGGTTTCTTAAATTTATACAGGGCCATCAAAAGTTGCCGATCCATTTTAAGGATATATTTTATATAAAAATTTTGTTATTTCAAATGTAACATCCTGTATTTTTTAGACAAATCGAAGCAGATTCAAATGCTCTTTCAAACTATATTAGGGTTTCCTATACCTATCTAGTTCAGATTCTGAATAAAAAGCGATTTTTAAATAAAATTGTAATCAAGATGGCTGGTGCCGCCATGGCAATTTTCTAGTGACAGTTAGTAACTATTTTCAAAGTCGACATTAGTTTATGGACATTATTATTTATAATTTATAACAGTTTACTTAAATTTACCTGCAATAGTTTAATAAGTAAGTATTCATTATTTTATCAAGAAAAATAAAGCAGTATCTGCTGGCGGAACGAATAGATATGTTACTAGTGATATTATTTTGCGAGGAAAATTGCTTCTCGGCCTCAAGGGCTTATGCTCAAAGATATCCAAATAGGAATCTTCCTGATAAGAGCTTCTTTGAAAAACTTCTTGTCCTATTTCGCCTGGTAGTGTGGTTTATCAAAAACCTATTAGGCAGAAACCTGTCGTTGGAAGTGAAGAAAATGAATTTACCGTAATTGGCTCTTTTATAGAAAATCCATATATCTACAAGTCATTGTAAAATAAATCAAAGATCTACATTTTCGTTTTTCTTGATAGAATAATAAATACTTACATATTTAATAAATATTATTTATTAAACTATTGTAGGTAAATTAAATAAAAGTAAACTGGTATAAATTTAAATAAGTCCATAATCTAATTTCGATTTTAAAAATAGTTACTAACTGTCACTAGAAACTTGCCATGACAACACTAGCCATTTTGATTACAGTTTTATTGAAAAATCGCTTTTTATTCAAAATCTGAGCCAGATAGGTATAGGAAACCCTAATATAGTTTGAAAGAGCATTTAAATCTGCTTCGACTTATTTAAAAAAATACATAGTGTTGCATTTGAAATAACGAAGTTTTTATGTAAAATAAATATTTAAAATAGACCATCAATTTTTGATACCCCTGTATATTTAAGGAAGGAATAACATTTTTCTGTAAAGTTTATTTCTCTACCTTTAAACTCAGCACAAGAACTAATTCTGAAAAGTAATGTACAGGGTGTTAATAATCTATTCTATTGTAGCATGCAAATTCAAATATCTTTCAATATCTCAAAAACCAAAGATTTTAAACATATTTAACCCTTATAATAAATACTTTTTTTGGGCCCAAGAATCCAAAAATTAAATAAAATACCGGGTATACCATAATAAAAAATATAACTTTGGTATGGATCTTAGTTCTGAAACACCCTGTACATTTCAAAATAATTTTAAATTGTGCACATTACCTCCCCGCATGTACCCATAAAATATTTTGTTTCTACATCTTTCCGTTTTCGTATAATAAACCGAGGCGAATGAGGTGCGCCACCCTGTACATAAACATGTAGAGTGAATGTATATAAATATCATACTATAGTTTTATATTCTTCATAACTTTCATTTAATTACTTATTAGCAAAATTTAAAACAAAAAATTTAGGATATAAATTAACAATAGGTTTTAAGAGAAACTGACTTAAATGGCGGTTTTCGTGTCATAATTACAACAGTTTCAGTTTTAAACATTACACACACCCATGAAACATTGTAATAAGTAACTGATCCGTATAGATGTAAAAATGTAATTAATTACTATTTTGGAGTGTTATAAACTAAACTTTTGTGGTAACTTTGTCTTAACAGTTCTATAATGTATGATTATATAAAAAAAACTGTAGCTAGATAGTGAAATTACTGTTTGTTTAGTGTGATACTAAATATTTTGGATTATTGTGGAGATCTGAAGATACCCCACGTTAATATGTGATCATAATAAAACATAATTAAGACTTAATTTTGCCCCAATTTAATTGTAAATTGTGGCAATTCTAGCTAAACTAAACAGTAAGAAAGCCAAATTCATTTCTAAATGCACTACAGTAAAATAATACAAGAACTGCTTAATTATGTGTTTTATTATCATACTTTATTATAAAATAATTACTAAAACTTTTGTGTGTGATTTTGTGGACTTTGATATTTTTTTATTAATTTGCCTATCACTGTTTTGTTCTAGGAATTCACAAATTGATCATTCCGACAGACTCGTTGACCATCATTCTAGCAAACTTTAGGAAACGACTAAAACGAATACCATTTTGTGATATATTTATGCATTTTGTTCTGATACTAAGTATTCCACTAATCTCAATGTATGCTTAGGATATGTACTATAATTTTAGGTGGATTCAAACAGTAAAATAAAATAAAGTAAGAAATAAGAATTTCTAATTTGTATAATAGTAAAGTATGTTACTAACTAGTAATAAAAAAGTAATAGTATGTTACTAACTAGAGAAATCAAACAGACTACAATATACACGTGCGCATTTCCATAGTTGTGTTACACAATATATTGTCTTCTGAGAAAAACTGTATAAACCAAACAACGCAATAGAAGAAGAAATAAGTTTATCCAAAAAAAAATCCATTTATTTTTATATCATTTTATTTTTATTTTATTTCTGTTGAATCCGACCTATAAAATTGATTTATTTGTCAAATGCAAATAATCAACATATCAACCAATATTCCGCAGTAACTACATTCTATGTTGTATTGTACGGTGGCAGTATTGTTATTCAATTATTAATTTTAAATTTCATATTTTTTTAACGTTTATAACTCACATTGGGTACAAACGTGGTACAAATATCATTTCCATTTTATTAATTTACATTAAATGCATTGGTTTAACTCACTTCACTCGCTTATCATATGTTCACTTGACACTAATACCCTGTGATCGAATGAAAACGACGTCAAGGTAGTCCTAGATATAAGATTTGAGTTCGAGTTATGCTATGTGATTTGATTTTTAGTAAAGGACACCCTGTATATTTTAAATTCTGTATTTCTAAGGGGACTATAACAAAACATCAGGTGTGCTATATTTTTGGAAAGGTAATTTTAAGTTATTCTCAATTAATGAAAAACATGCAGGGTGTCCCAAATAAAAAAATTATACTTAAACTATTAAATTCTACGTAAAAAGTTTCTGTGGAAATGTTTTCATAAAAATATAAAATTTTCTGTAGCAAAAAAGTTACAGCGATTTGTTGAAAATAGACATTTTTGAAAAACACCCCATAACTCCGAAACGGTAAAAGATATCGTTTTTATCATCATATATTTTTTTTTGATAAAAATTCAGCTCCAGACACCGATATTAGTTTTCATCTATCTCCTATAGAAAAGAGTATTTCCCTTTAAGTGTCCAATTTGACCCACCCTGTACAGCTTAAACTTTACTTATCTGTACACCTATTCTAACGTCGTTTTTTTTCGATCATACCGTATTTTCATGGCATTGACTTTTTCTTTTGCATACTTTTTTAATATCTTCTTTATTTTACAGGGTTGAAGGGGCTGATTAGTATGGTTGCCTAGTTAATACATTTCTTGTAATAAATTTAAAAGAAATATAGGGTATAATTTAAAGTTGCAATATTTCACATTATTAAAACTACATAATTTTTAGAAGATTTAGACAAATGTTTGTAGTTTCGTTTTTTTAGCAAAAGATCGAAAATAATTTTGTAATTACTATGAAAAATGTTAAGTAATGTTTTGCAATAATGTTCCATTTACCTATCTAGTGCAATATAATTACTAAATCTACTCATTTCTGATTGGTTGCGGGTATGCTAATGGTGTTGGATTAGCATATAGAACTCCCTAAAATTTTCTATTCGTGTTTCAATTGCCTTACAACACAGTTCACTAGTCAAATGATTTTTCTTAATTGTAATTTATAATATAAAATTTATATAGATTTAAACTTTCACTTTTGATTAAAACAAAAGTGAAATAAGTGTGAAGTAATTTTTGAGCAGTTACTTATTTATTATTCTCATGTTCATAACATTTAATTTTTTATTGTTATGATAACAGAAAGATTATACTGAAAATAAAAATTCAATAGAATTTTTAAGGAATAATTTTGATCAAATTGTCATAATTTCGTTAAAGCAATGCACGTTTTAAGCAGCGTTGATTTAAATATGATTTATTAATGTTGTAAAATATTGTTCTTTGTGTATGTATGTGGGTTGTAATTTACGGAAGAAATTGTTAAAACATAAAACTTTAACCTTAATAAATACCTGAAGATTATAGTATATTTTTTGTTTTATTTCAAATATCCATATGATCACAAAGTTCTATGATCAAGTCAGCTGTTTGAAAAAATAAGTACGTAGTACAGGCTGTACAACCATCGTTCAAACGTTACATCATATATTTACTTACTCTAATATATTGAAAAGGAATATTCTACTATACATACAGATTTGGTCATGATAGATGCGTGGTCTGGATTTTAACGTGTAAGACAATGATGTAGACAGCATAATGAAAAATGAGATGTATTAAAAAGAGAAAAACATTTGGGTTGATACATTTCTTCTATGCGGTATTGCCAGATTTTGCGTCAAAATTTCAATCCGCCCAAAAAAGCGTTTACGAAAAGTATTGCATCTAGGGTTGGATCTTTAATTTCCACAATTAGTTACTCATTTTACTACAGCTGTAATAGATTAAAGTATCGGTCTCAGAACTACGTTGTGTCGTTGGCAGAACTACCAAAACAAGCAATTATAGTTGTTAGTTATACATAATCATATACATGCGGGTATTTAGTAGACTAGTGTCGTTTCCCGGTCCTCGACTTTCATAAATTCCGGTCCCACTAGTCACCATTTCTTAGGTGTCTTTCAAGCGTGGCTTCATGTACATCATCCCATCTTTTTCCTTCCATGTTCTTGCTGGTCTTCCTCCTATTCCAGTAGAGAGAAGAAAACCAGGAGGTTTTCTTCTCTCGACTGGAATACGAGAATATAGGTACTCTACTGGTATAGGATCCAGTCCCATACTCTCTTAAGTATTCTTAAATCTTCCATTCTTTGAAGGTGGGCAATCCATGGTATCCATGGCATGGTATCCAAGATAGTACCATTTACTTGCATCTCATCTCTTATACAAACATTTCTTGCATGTTCTAGGGGAGATGTTCTGTTGCTACGCCTCCAATAGTCCATTTAAAGTGCAAGTAGTCTATCTTTGTTTCTCCTTGTGAGTTCCCACGTCTCCGATCCGTAGGTACAACCAGATTCAAAGATAGAGTTGTACATCATGTTTCGTTCTTCTTGATATTCTATCGCTCCAAAGAAGAGAGTTTAGTTCCTTAATTATTCTTCCTCCCTGTAATTTTATTGGATATATCCTCATTACTTTTGCCATCTGAGGAAAGAGTTACTCCAAGGTATTTAAATTTGGAGCAGTGTTTTATTGTTTTGCCCATACCAATATCAAAATCACTATGATCGTCGTTTCCTACAGACATGTATTCGGTCTTCTTCATATTTACAATCAATCCAAACTGTTCCAACTCATTTTCAAGCACTCTCGGCATGTAGCTAGCATCATCTCGGTCTACTTCTTCTTTTCCACTTTTTTAGAGCCTCTTTGACATATATCTTAAAGAGTAGAGGGGCTAAGGAACATCCTTTTTGAATCCCTTGGAAACAATAAATTCCTCAGAAGTAAAATACAGGCCACAAATATAAAGCAACCAAGACTAGTATATTTCAGCTCGGTGGATTTGCTATTAAATTCCCATTCCAAAAATACCATGTTATGTTCTACACCGAGTTGTTTTCAAATATGAGTAATATGACCATTTTTACACTACATCTACTGCTATTTAAAGTTCTCTCAAGATTTGGTATGTTAGTATATGGCATAAATTACTATTGTTTAACTTATTCAACTGTTTTTGATCACTTCCTGTTTCACCGGAAATGACTACAACTTTTGATTTTTAAATGGCACCCTCGGTATATTTCTCCTTTATTCGATATTTCACTCTGAGTAGAATGACATATCCTATCTCAACTTTTGACATAGGATATGTCACATATGATAAATAAATAAATAAATGTGGCAACTTGACATTTTTTACAGCAGAGCTACCACCGGAATCCCCAACGGTAAATTTGAATTCCAGTTAGTCAGCTCGGCGCCGAATATGTCCATTGTTCTCAAAAATGAATTTAAAAATCGCGCCCTCGATTACGTAACTAAAAGTTTAATTGGTATAAAATATCTATACCTACCTTAGTTTGTACATATCTATATTAGAATCAGCCTGTATATATAGACAAAAATATTCTTAAACCGTATGCTACCATTATCCGCATATATTATAAAAAAACTGGAGTAAAAATCTGAAACATAAAATCCCATATGGAGCTTTTTGAAACACTTTGACATTGATGTCTGCTTTGGTGTGATAAAAAACACTTCTTTTTAAAGTTATAACAAGATTTTGAGTGTCAATGCTACCACAGATTAGGTATCCTATAAGTATACAGATAAAAATCTTGTCCCTAATTCATGGTACCAAAATTGTTTTTTATGACGACGTGCAAACGAGTCAAATTTCCTGTGCGCAAAAATAAACTCGCGTAAAATAACAATAAACTGCGTAATAGAGAGATATCGCTAAAGCGAATAGCGTGCATGGACGTTAATAAGGCCAGGTGTTATTTCCTTTACATGAGGTGGTATTAACTCTCTTCATTTATAGTTATCGGATCGGAAAGAATTCTGATCGCGTCGCGTCCGCTATTTAAACTTATCCTAACTTTGAATTTAAAACTTTGAAATTGTTTTGTTTACTAGGTATTTTAAAACTAAAGGGCTAAAGTGCTTATTTCCAGTGCCGGAGGAAGAATTTCCACGTCTGACAGTGGGTTTAGGGCAACAAGCAACATTTAAGCAACACATGCCCATTTAAGCAATTTTTAAACGTTATCAAAGGTTATTTAGAAAGAGCGCTTGGTGTAATTGATCCGCAAATTACGTCAGGCGGTAACGTTATTAGCGGGTGTTGCGTTAAAAATTGACTGGCGCATATCATATATGATAAGGTACGCGTAAATACTGGATGACGCTATTCGGTTTTCCGATATCTCTCTAATAACTGTGCTGGTCAGGCGCTGTGCACAATTTTAGAGGCCATAAGTGGGCGTGCTATGTGCGCAAACTAGTAACCTAACTAGTGCCCGATTCCGAAAATTGGAACCACGAAAAACAATAAAGAAAAAACAAAGATTATAATCTGTATAATCTGTGATGCTATTATACACATTTCACAGTGCACTCAACATTTATAAAAACCATTAAGAACAAGTCCTTAGTACCTTAAATATGGGAACCTGTTACTTCACTGGTTAGCTATAACTGCTATAAGTTAATTAATAAAATTGATAAACTATTCATATAAAATAGACAATTTATTTAAAACAACAAATTTCACCTACTGCATATTTCTTAAGATAACCATTATTAAACTCTGAAGCAGTCATAACTTTTTTCCCTAAAACACTTATTCTTTTCACACTTATAAATGTTCCATTTGCACACTCAACCCGTAGGGTTTGACTAGGTTTATCGTATGTTACACTTCCTGGGGCTATACACTTTGCATTTGACTTACATATCTCAATGTCTATTAATTTTACAGAGCTGGATGCTACGCTTGTAAACAAGTTATGACGAAGACTGTCAAGAGCTCTGTGTAGATTATAGACGTCCTGTGATGTCATTGAATCCCACTTGATTTTTGCAAATTCTGGTGTGATTTTTGGTGCTGAAATGGGGTAAAGAAATTAAATCTAAATTACTGTAACAAAATAAAATTTTAACACAAACTATTAAATAAATAAATATACAGGGTGAAAAAGTGTTGTGAAAAAGACCTCTACCAGGATTTATACTTAGGGTTCCCAACCGTCCCGGTTTGGCCGGGATTAACCAGGAATCAGAAAGATTGTCCCGGCGAAAGTTTTGCCTTGGCCGGGACCTGGAAACTAAAAAAATGTGTACTACACACATAATATATTTTATTTTCTAATATTTAATGTCATGCTTCAATTATTTAAAAGCTTAAAAATAATTGTCCCGGAATCGCCGATGCTCAAGTTGGGAACCCTATTTATACTTCAAATTTTCGGGGAAATTTTTTGCTAAAATATGCGGGCCACTGTAACTGTGGCCTGTGGCGCACTTTTTAAAAATATTTTTGTAAATATATAGAGCCATTCAAATATATTTTAACATTAAAGTTATGGTTTTTTGAATTGAATGCTGTATATTTTTTGCTCAATTGATTTGTCATAGAACTCTCATTCCAAAAATACCATCCTGTCTATAGAGACACAGTGATTTGAGACGGCAGTGCTGAGTGGTATTTTACAAAAAATAACTTATTTTTTGGAGATCTGTTTCAGTGGCGAAATAAGGTATTATTTATACAGAGTGGTGTTTAAAATATGGCCGTTTTCAGATTAATTTCCTGTACATTTGAAACTCCCTAAATTATAAAATACTAAATTTAGTATATTACCGTATGATCGAAAAAAAAACGGCGTCCAGTTGGCTTGGAAATGACGATCGACGACATCCCCCAAAGAATTTTACATATAAAATGACAGCGATCTTCATTTCATAGCCATCGCTGACGCCATTTTTTTCGATCATATGGTAGTAGTCTTTTTAAAACTAAAGCGTACTAAAATATTTTGCGTCTAACCCCAGCAAGGCAACTATTAAGCTTTAGTTAGCGTGGTTATTTGGAGGGTGTTAATTCATTGGTTAGTTGGTTATTTGGTGGGGTTGGTTGGTTTTTACTAATTTATATTTGTTTTTTAGATATTCATTGATTTTCTTTATTTGTTCGTAATAAATTACATAGTACGCCACAGCTGTTCTGCATCCGCTTTTGTCGAACTAACGTGATCGGTCAAGTCTAAAGGTACATTCAGGCTGAGAGCGTCGAGCGTCGCTTCGCGTTTGAGTCGCGTCCGCGTGTCGAAATGGAATCAATTCACTTAACTTAAATAAGACCGTTCAGGCAGACAGCGTCGAGTTTGGCATTGCGCTAGCGCCCGCTGATCGTCGGGGTTCGATTTCAATAGGGCGGACGCGACGCAAACGCGACGCGACGCTCGACGCTCTCAGCCTGAATTTACCTTAATAGTTGCCTTGCTGGGGCTAGACACAACTCTAAAATACACTATATTGCATGGTATATACAGATATAACACATACATCTATTATTGTATACATGTGAGTCAACAATAGATGTTATTGTTCTCTACTATTTCAAATAGGACTTGATTTATAATTTTTATAGCCACAAATAAAACATTAATTCACTAGATCTGTTGTAACACCAAAAGTTCCAATCTGCTGATGATGCTAACATGATTAGGGAAACACGCATCCAGTGCAAAAGTAAAGTGTTTTGATGTATTGTGTTGAATTAGTGTTTTATTTTGCTGTTGTAACCCCAAAGGTGCCACACTTATCTGTAATTTAATAGCCACAATAATTAATATTTACATATTAATTTTCTCATTTTTAGCAATTATTATTATGACAACTCCATGAGGACAATAAATTAGGAATTCATTGTATAATTAATAATTCAGATATCCTTAACTAATTATCAATATTAGTAATTTTAAAAATATATTAATCTAACAGTATATCAATGAAAATATTTTTAAAATGTGTCCTCAATCCTCATATCATATCCCACATACTGTATAATCGAAAAGAAACGGCGTCCAGTTGGCTTTGAAATGACGATCAATGACATTCCCCACATAATTTTACATATAAAATGACAGTGCTCTTCATTTCATAGCCATCGCTGACGCCGTTCTTTTTCGATTATATGATATTTTACAAAAATATTTAAAATTGGTAAAAAAAGTTGATATGGAGCTTTTTTAAAACACTAGGACACCCTGCAAATTGTTTTTATTTAGGTAATCAAAATATATACCATATGTAACACCTTCAGCAGGCTGAGGTGTGCTATTTGATAAATATTCTTCTAAGTTATTTAATGTATTGAGTAAACAAGAGGCTCCCAATTTTCCTAGTCGCTCATGCAATTCTGGCATTTTTGTCTCATCACTAATATTAATCTTCTTTTGTAGCACAATATCTCCTATATCAAAATGTTTTGGTTTAATGTTCATTATTGTTATACCAGTTTCCTTATCGCCATTAGCTAGAGCATAAATTATAGGCGCTGCCCCTCGCCATCTAGGTAACAAACTGGCATGAACATTTAACATACCCCTGAAAAAATATCTTTAAATGCCGTATTTACATCAATATTTTTTAGATTCACCTACAAGGGGAACTTATTTATTATACTTTCTGGAATTAGGTGCCCGAATGATACAATTACACCTAAATCATATTCATTTTGTATTAAATCTGGAGGCCATTTCTGTATATTTAAATCATGTTTCTCAGCAAACTTCCATATTGGGTTTTTATTTGAATTAGTGACTACTTTTAAAATACTTACGATACTGTCATTATTCTGGCTAAAAAGCTAACGATATGCTTAATATTTTTTAACATTATCAGTACTTACTTACTGTTCTCTATATAAAGTTTTTAAACTATAAAGTGAAAAATTGTCACTTCCAAAAAATAATATTTTCCATGGTGGTTTACTGTGTTTCACATTTTCACTTTTAAGATATCGACAGGCATATTTCTTTAGTGATCTACATGATTTAAGTTTTTGTAAATACATTTAAAACCTTTTTATTCAAAGAAACCTCCCTTATAATCAGAGAAAAACAGATGAAAAACACCAGAAAAATGAGGTTAAAGTTTAAGAAAGGAAAGGGAAACCGTATATTGGGTTGCCTACAAATCAGAGTTTATGAACAGTCCAAAACAGCCATATCAATCGCATCAATTTGTCTGTGATGTGGGATAAATAAAACATAGAAATAAAATAAGTTCCAATTATCTACTACAGAAAAAATGTAATAGTCAGTAGTATATTTATTTATTAGTATAATATTATACATTAATTATTGAACACTGAATAAAGAATATATCAAAATTACTAATCTTTTTTATCCTCAGGCTTTATCACTACTTCATCATCATTTTGTTTTCTTCTTGATAGCATCCCCGGCCTATATAGTGGAATTGTAGGACGATCTTTATTTCGAATTCTTCTTGAGTTACTTTCACCTCTATCTAAATCCTTTAATTTATCATCTTTGTCCTTTTCTTTCTCTAAATTTGCTTCTTTTTGTAGTGACTTTGGTTCTTCTTCACAATCTTTAGGCTCAGGAGTGTCTATTTTTTCATTATTAGAAAGATTATCTGAAGAACCCTGGATTTTTGGTGGTACATCTTTATATTCTTTTTCTTTCTGTTCCTGCTTTTTTAATTCAGCTTTTTGTGCTTCCATTCTTCTTTCTTCTCTTTTTTCGCTGTACTTCTTTACTTTCTTTGGAAAAGTTTTACTATCTTCTCTTTTGTAGTCATCATAATGTTTAGATCTGTATTCTCTATGAGAATAATCTTCACGCTTAAAATCTCTGTTATCAACATATTCTTTTTTAGGAAATCTTGGTTTGATTTCTTTTCTCTCTTTTCTATCCTCAAACTTCTTTTCTTTGGGTTTAATTCCAGAAACTTTTTCTATTGGAGATTTCTCAATTTTGTCATCGGGATTATCAAACTTACTTTTATCATTACTTGGTTCATTTCTTGGTTTAGATTGCTGGAATCTATTTACTTTAGCTGGAGATCTTTCATCATATTTTTTCTCATCGTAATACCTTCCTTCATGTTTATAATCTTTTCTTTTTTCAAACTCCTTTTTTCTTCTTTCCCTTTCTTCTCTTCTCACTTCTCTTATCTTCAAACGATGAGCTCTTTTATTTTTAATATACTCTAACAATGGTGTAGTGGTATCTTTCTTCTCTTCGCTTCTTTCATTTAATTGTAGTGTATATTCAGGTTTTTCATCTTGCTCAACTGGTTTACTTAGTATAGCCACAAAATCCAAATAATAAGAATCTGATTCGATCGTGTTACATTTCGGATCCATTCTATTTTTACCCCGTTTCTTAGGAATCTTTTGAAATGGAGCAAATTCAACAACAGCAGCATATTCGTGACCTTTGGTATCCACAAATACATAGTTATCAAATCTCTCCTTAAAGCTGTACACATCTTCTGGACATACAAAGTTTATGTAGGCTCTAGCAAAAGCATTTTCACCCAATGTCATGTCTCCCTTAACATAGTAAAGATAATTGTAATCGGGCACTGGAGATACTTGATTTAAGAACTGCTCTTGTGTCATTGTCGGAGGAAGTCTACGAATTACGACTTTAGTAAGAGGCTTCTCTTTCTTTTCTGGTCGCTTCTCAGCTTCTGTTAATGCCATTTCTGCTGTTGATTATTATTAAATATTAAACTATTAGCACTATTACCATAGTGCATAAAACATTAAATCAGATTAAATCACAGATTAAAAAATAAAAACACGAAAAAGTTTGGTTACCTCTTAGTTTTTTTTTACATATCTGCATATGTCAAATGCGGACGTCACCCATAATTAGGGACATATCGCGTTAATGAATTATTTACGTTAAAATAACGTATATAGTCTATCCTGTGGAAGAATTTATTATTATGATACTAATGATAATTGCCTTTCATTTGAATTTGAAGGTAGAATAGTGTGTCTCTATCTAACGAGAATAAAGGTAGATACACGACAGTGACAGTCATTTTAATTAACATGTAAATTGTCTTATATGTTATTTTTGGTTTTCCTCTGTTATAATATAATATTGTTTTATATTGACTGTGCTATTTTGAGATTATACGGAAAATAATAAAGAAATACATAAAATCTACACTGAGATGCAAAAAAAACGCAAAGGAATTTTTTTTCGTCAAATTGAAAGTATTATATTTTTTATTTTTATTCCTATTTCTATGAACTTTTTAGCAAACTGTATACGAGCCCTAACAACTATATGTTGGAACAAGCAGCTACTTTGCAATTTTTTTTTAATTGTAGATTTGGAATTAAGAGATTATATTTTCTATGATATATGGAATTATTTTTACGGTTTAATTATATATTTTATGTTGATTACTACTTAATTAATTGTTTAAAAATCGAAAAATGCTGACAATTAAATATAATTGAAACATGGAACATGTTTTGCTTTTCCTCGCGTTTCTTGAGTTTTATCAACCTGACACGAAGGGGGCTTTAAAATGAAACATACGAGTAAGTAGTGTGTTGTCAAAAAAAATTTCCACCCGGCATTTGAGTATTAATAATTAACAACTGTCAATTTTATTACGAGTAAAATAAACGAGTGGAAGACCTACTGATACAAAAGTGCGAGAAATTATTATTCATCAGTACCATAACGGGAAAAAAATGCGTGAAATTTCTACTGCATTAACTGTAGCAACAACAACTACTGTCTTTAATATAATGAAGAAATATGGTGAAACTACCAGTATTGATGTTCGTGGTAAAAGCTCAGGCCGACCAAAAGCTGTTTCTCAAAGAAGAGTAAGGCATTTAACTAGAATATGTAAGTCAGGAAGAAGAAATACACTACGAGAAGTAACCGCAAGATGGAATAGAGAAACTGGAATGAATGTTTCCAGAGAATGCTGTCGCCAATATATCCACAAGAGCGGTCTTAGTTTTTATAAAGTATGTTTGATAGGTACTTCTTTGCGGTATAAATTTTCTATTTTTTTACTTATATGAGTAGGCCAAAGAAAAACCATTGTTGACGGAAACTCAAAAAAGGAATCGTTACATTTGGGCCAAATAAAAACTTTCGTGCATGGACCAAACATAACTGGGACAAAGTTATCTATTGCGACGAAAGCAGATTTGATGTATGAGTGGGAGATTACCGAAAGCATGTGATTCGAGAAAAAACAGAAACATTCCATAATGATTGTCTCAAAAGAACTGTAAAGTTTCCACAAGGCATCATGGTATGGAGTTGTATGTCGGCCAAAGGATTGGGAACTTAACACTTTATTGAAGGCACAGTAAACGCAGCCAAATATCAAGATATCCTTGAACATTTGCTTTTACCAAGTGCTGCAAAGTTACATCCATCCAAAGATTTTATTTTTCAACAGGACGGAGCCTTATGCCATACGGATGGCATGGGGCTCTTAAATCTACCAAAAATGGATGGGAGAATATGATATTAAAGTTTTGTCACATCCCTCTAGCAGCCCGGATCTTAATCCATTAGACACATTGGCACAAAATGAAACAACGCCTAATATAAGAAATGATCGTCAGCGTACTTTACCACAATTACGTGCTAAATTGCAAGAAATATGGGATAGTTTCACCCCTAAATTCTGTGACGGCCTAGTTGGTACAGTGCCTAATATAGTTCAGGCTGTTAATCGAGCTAAGGGCGTAATTGTTATTTTAATTTGTTAAAAGCCACTTTAAAAGCAATATTTAGTTGTTAGCATTTTTCGATTATCAAACAATTAATTAAGTAGTAATCAACATAAAATATATAATTAAACCGTAAAAATAATTCCATACATCATAAAAAATGTTGTTAAATATAAATTTACAATTAAAAAAAAATAAATAAAATAATTTCGGTAAACTGGCATTTTATTTGCAAGGTAACTACTTGTTCCAACATATAGTTGTTAGGGCTCGTATAAGTATATCTACTTTAATTTGCAAACTTAGTTTTTTTTAAACTTTTGTATTTGGCTTATTATACAGGGTTAATTGAAGGGTTGTTTTTTTATCCAAATTTAAAATACCCTGTGCAATAATTTCGTGAGTAAATTCTAAAACATATTTTTCGGTAAGAACCATGACTACTGAGCATTTTGTTTTTTGGCTTATATCAATACATGCCTTGGTTAATTTTTAAGAGCAAAATGAACTTGCTACCAACAATTTGCAATTTTTTCCATTATTTTATCATTGCTTTTTTGAGTGAAACTTCTTTACGCACCCTGGGAGTAAAAATTCAAGGCCGTGACACGACGCACAACACACTTGGAAAAAATCGTCCGATTTAAATGAAATTTGGTACGTCGATAAATTGAACCAAGGCCAACTTGACCGTGTATGACATTTGTCACTATGACAGTATACGTTACCAAAAACTGGAGTATTTGTAAAATAACATCACACGATAGGTAATTAATAAATTTTAGTAGGTACTTCAGAGAGATAATGTCAAAAGGTACTGGTTTAAAAAAAATTAAGATTAAAGTTAAGTAACCAATTTTTAAGGTATAAAATTCAGTGTTTGTTTTTTAATAAAATAACAAATAACTGGATTAGATTTTTTCAGGTTTATAATAAATATACTAATTTTCTGCTATGCGTTCCAATTGTACCAACTTATTTCTTTGTAAAATAAAATAAACTAGTTTGAAATTAAAATGACAGACACATCACACATCTATCACTGTCAAGGATCTTTTCGTTGGATGACTATACACGGTATTTGCACTGTTTTGCTCTTGGATAGAAGCTCTCTATTAATTGAATTCTCAAACTGGTTCTATGTCTTTCTCTCTCATTCTCTTTCAACCAGATATTTGTCCGTCCTTTACGTTTTCCGTTTTCATTTTCTTCCATCTTTGTTGTTGAACAGCTTATGTTGCTGTTTGTACGTCGATTGTCAAGTCGAACAGTTCGTTTTCGATTATGCTTGTGTAGATTGAACAATTTTCATTTTCCGCTTTTAATAATTATTTTTTCGTTATTTATTTTTATCGTAAATCAGTGCAATAGCGTTTAGTTTAGTTTTTAAGTGACGTTTCAATCATTTTATTGGATCAAATGCTTATTATTGTCCTTTAGGAAACTGGTAAGTAGGTAGAATCGAATTAGCCTTGATTTGTTTATAACTTTTTTAAGAATTTGCTGAATGGAATAATTTGTATGACTTGTAATACACCTTTCGCTATGTAATTGTGCCGCCTGATATTGCTTTCTATAATAAATTAGCACCTTTATGTGACATTACAGTAATTAAAAATTAGACATACAATACTCTGATACCTTAAATAAATCAGAAATCTTAAATTAAATCTCAATTTTAATAAAAATTACAGATAGACACTTTTAGGTTTTGCTATTCCAAACAAAATAAAAAAAATTGTTTTGAAAATTTAACATTATTAGCCAATTGTTTACATTTATGAGAGTAAATAATTTTAATTTAATTTTAAGTTATAAAAATATAAGAGTACTTAACTGAGTCATCGCTGTTTTAATCATTAAATTTGGTACATCCTCTCAGGAGTCTGTAGGAGGGGATATAAACAATTTGATATTTATTTAGCGTCATCAGTCGTATTAACAAAATTACTTAGCAATATACATACCCACATTAAATTTCTATATTTTTACCAATATGTTTTTGGTAACTTGTAAACCTGTTTTCTTTTGGGTTTTTCTAATTACTAATTGAATGAAAATTTATTATTACCAGATTAACACGTAAGTTCATACAAAAGTACCACATGATACATGATCGAAAAAAAAACGGCGTTAGCGGTGGCTATGAGATGAAGATCGCTGTCATTTTATATGTAAATTTATATGGGAAATGGGAAATGTCATCGATAGTCACTTCCTAGCCAAATGGACGCCGTTTTTTTTTCGATCATACGGTAAGCTACCTAGGTAGAAATGTTGATAGAATAGGATAAGATGATATAAAAACATTATTCTATAGAACTAGGTATAGATCTTAGAGTAAAGTATAGATCATCTAGGAACATATACTATGAAAACAAAATATATGAAGATCGCTGTCATTTTGTATGTAAAATTATGTGGGGACTTCGGTGGGGACTGTCATCGATCGTTATTTCCAAGCCAACTTTTTTCTATCATACGGTATATTTTACTTTGTAGCTTGTAGTTGAAAGCGAAAAGTAAAGTCAAAAAGTCCAAAAATCAATTTAAAGTATAGTAGGTATATGAATCGTTAAAAATTTGATTTTTTTTAACAGATAAGTATTATTTATCTTTGACATACCTACTGTTAGATAAACTGTCATAAAGATAAAATAAATATTTAAAACTTTTCAATTATGTTCTAGCCTTGTTTAGATATTTTCTAGCTTAGGAATATCTATATCTTCGTCTTCAAAATAATCTTATATTCTGTTTAACTTGATTCTTGACTCACTGGATAGATTGATCAAACATCATTGTTACAATTTATTTCACACGAATAATAGTGTAAAATTGCTCAGAAATATTTGTCAAAGATATTTGACGTTAAGTAGTCTTAACTTATTTATAAATATTATGTTATACAATGATCGAAAAAAAATGGCGTCAGCGATGGCTATGAAATGAAGATCGCTGACATTTTATACCTATATAAAATTAATAATTGTTTTTATACCATGTTTTGTTTCTTTTTGTATTGTACATACAATAAGGATTTAAATAAACCAATATTTATCTATATTGGAAATGTCATCGATCGTCATTTCCAAGCCAACTGGACTACCTTTTTTTTTCGATCCTACGGTTAGGTTAGGTTAGGTTAAAAATTATTTAAATAAAATAAACAGTAAAATACACGATGACAGGTCTAAAAAACAGCGTCAAAATCGCCAAATACTGCTGGTGAATGACAATTGATGATAATTTTGACGAGGTCAATCTCTAGACGTCATTTACTAAAAATTCACATAAACCTTGTCAAGTTTAAATTGAATTTTAAACTACGCTATTTAAAAATCATTTTTACTCAATATAAAAATAAATTAAGTAAGTAAATTAAGTAAGCGCCATTGCAAAATAAAGAAAAATATGGGCCAAGTAAATGACGTCTAGGGCTTGACCTCGCTAAAATTATTATGGATTGTCATTCCTCAGCTGTCTTTAACGCCGTTTTTTTTTCGACCGTATGGTATTATGTGCTTTGTATGTTAGATTGAATTGGAACTGACATTTCCTGACCCCTATTTTATTCTATGCCCTATTTTGTTTATTACGATGCGGGCATACTCAATTATTTCTAATTTTCTTTTCTCATAATAATTCTACTCATAATTTCATAACACTCTTTCATAATGTACATGGTTTCTGTTATGATTCTATTTATGTTTATGTGAAATGTTTTATTTGCTTAAATTAAGTCTGATTTAATTTATTACTCTAAGTAAACCTTTGTGTATATGTTAGGGTTAAGGTCCGATATTCGGTTAATATCGACATTACCCGGTTAATCTCGAGAATAAAACAAAACAAAACAACCAAAAACAAACCCAAAACCATAAAATAAAATATAGACTGAGCATCTCATTCATAAATAGCTGAAACATGCGGTCAGACAATGTCTTGTTATTGTTGTGTTATTGTTTTAGGTTATAACGAGTGCGACACGAGCGATAGATAGGTTGTCTCTGTCGTAACGGTCGTTCCCTGACGACTCTGCCGAGAAATACAACACTGTCTTTCGTTTCTCAAGTACACCTGAACTCTCCGTCTCATAGCCGGGTATTTTTTTTATTTTAATGAAGCTATAATTAAATTAAAAATATATCGTATTTAAACTTTTTTATATTTTATTAAGATTTAGGAGAGGTTTTTTTAAATAAAAGTTTAGAAAAAACGTCTTAAGAGTCCAAAAAGGATAAAAATAATAAAATACACGTTATAGAAGAAATTTTATAATCGAAATTACGTAATTTTTGAAATTAATAATAAATTATTAATTTTAGTCAAACATTTACAACCTCTAATATTAATCAAAACAGGATCTATTCCACAGATATAATAGAATCGGCGACAGGGAGAGAAAAAAAATATGATTGTTGTAATTTTTTTTCTGGTTAAGTGATGTCTTATGTAAATTAGAGAAAACATAAATCTGTTCCATTAAAGCAAGGAAGATGATAGGAAGTGGATAAAATGAAAACTACATTTATTTAACTCCGTACTGTCTTTATCATACCGGGTGCGTCCCAAAAGTGGCTCATCCCCATAATTTTTTTATATTTTCAAATAAAAAAACAAGATTTAGCATGTTATATATGACATAAATTAGGATTGATTGACGCCTTCAATTGTTTTTGGTCACTTCCTGTTTCACCGGAAATGACTATAACTTTTAATTTTTAAACGGCACCCTCGGTATATTTCTACTTTATTCAATAGAAACTGACACTCTGAATAGAATAATATATAATATGTCAACTTTTGACATTTTCGCATATGGTTTAATTGTAATTGTAACACGCGGTTCATAACGACAATTTGACTCGAAATACCAAGTGTGTGGTATCAATATATTCATAAAAAAATGCTTTTTCCAAATATGCTAATGAGTCACCCTTGTTCCATTTGAAAAAATTGACATATGTATATATGTATAGTGTTTTTAACAACACCATGGCACCCTGGATTGAAATTTAAAATAGGATATGTTTTTAAGCGACAATGTCAAAAGTTGACATATGATATGTCATTCTATTCAGAGTGCCATTTTTTATCGAATAAAGTAGCAATATACCGAGGGTGCCTTTAAAAATCAAAAGATATAATCATTTCGGTGAAACAGGAAGAGACCAAAACAATTGAATACGTCAATAAATCTAATTTATGTCATATACCTACTAACATACAAATCTGTTTTTTATCTGAAAAAAATAAAAAGTTATAGGGGTGAGCCACTTTTGAGACGACCCGGTATATTAAAAATATTGTTTCATAATGTAATATCATTTTAAAATTCTTTTATGTTATTTTAGATTCTGAAGATAATTTTAGAATAAACCGGAATATATTTTTAATAAAAACATTATTAATTATTAACAGAGTTATAATTATGATTTTGTTACAATGTAAGTAAGTAAATAATGTAATGTAAGAGAAAAAATTCAGATTTTACATTTTACTAAAATATTATCTAAATAAGCGCCTTTCTACAACAACGCCACTGACTCCCAATGGGTAAATTGAGAGTTGCCTACCGGTCAAAAGTCGTTTCAAGACTTAAATGGATTATTTAAGTCAAATTTCTTGCAAATTTGGCACTGGCGAACCATATTTTATAGTTTTTGAACAGAAAAAGTCAATAAAATAAACATTTAAGGACTACAAGCTAAGAAAATGCGTTAATACAGCCGGGGAGATAGCGGCAACAAAGCTTTACCCTACACGTGCGACACGTACTACAAGGCAGAGAATAGGTACATTAAAGAAATGCTAACTTCATGTTATAAAATGGAAACAGACGCCACCTGGTGTCGCCTGGCAGTACTAACTAAATTGAGGGGAATTGGAGGGGCGGGCCTTAAAAGAGGGGAAATTTTTAAAAAAATATTTTTATAAGTATCACTGACTTACTGTTTAAAGTTAATAAACATATTTTTTATTACTTTAATATAATTTAATGTATTAAAAATATGTCTATTAACTTTACACAGCAAATCAATGATATTATTAAAGACTTATTATTTTCAGAGAAAATTCATAGTAAATAAATTACACATTAGTAAACAATATCATTTATTTTTTAGAGCTGCGATTTATATTACAATAATATTGAAATAGGTATATATATTTTTTTAACAACGAAAAAGAATATCTCGGAACCTGAAAAAGAAAGATGATCAATTAATGACTTAAATTAGTTCAAAATACATTTTGCAAATAACTAGTGAATTGGAAAGATAAACATACTATTAAAAAGACATTTTAGTAGTATGTTATCATCTATTTACTGATAATACATTACATAAGTATATAATAGGTAAATAACATGCATAAGGCACTATGATACAACTACCTGTATCATGATAACACACTAATATGACAAAAAATATATGCTAGTTTAAA